AAACACACACACACACACACACACACACACACACACACACACACACACACACACACACACACACACACTCAGAGGACAGAGGTACACTCACATACATACACACTCACACACGCACAATATATAGAACAGAGGTACACTCAATGGCTCAATGGTTGAGAGATGAAAAGATCTCCGCGGTACATTACCTTCAGCGGTTATTGTTCGCCTCTCTCCCAGAAGGCGTGAGTGTGAATTATTGATGTGTCGAGCCTCGGGGCTACAAGATCGAGAGAGAGAGAGCCGTAGCCGTGCACGGGCCAACGTATCCCCGAGGTGTGTGAGCGCGCTTTGTCTGTTTCTGTGATTACACGTGCAGTCTTTGGTGAGCGCGACAAACTCTTCCCTAATTTGTCGTGTTTGTTGAACAGTCTTTGTCCTTCCCTGAGTGCTGGGGGTTTACTTTAGGCAGGAGGTGTGGCGGGTGTGCGTACAGGGCTTGTGAGCTGAAGCGTTTTGGTTCGATTCCCGTCTGTGTCTCAATGTGTGTTGCGGTTTTTTTGTGTCTTTCGGCGAAACAGCTCTATAGTCCATAGAGAGAAGTAATTTACAAATGTCGTTTCCGCCCCCTTTCTTTATTTTATTTTTGTCTGCTTCTGTTTTGCTCTTTGACTATGTATGGGAGTGTAAGGTTGAAAGAGAGGGGAGCCACATGCGAGTCCTGTTCTTCTTTTCCATCCAGTGTTGTGTTTTTGTGTTGAACTTTTTTTTTTTTTTTTTTTTTTTTTTTGGGGGGGGGGGTTCTTTTCCCTTGGAAGTTAATCACTTGTTTTGACTGGTTCGGGGGTAAAAATGCACGGGCACATTTAGGCTTTTTTTCCTTCCTTTTTTCCCTTATGGTTTTTCTCCTACTTGTCTTGAGTTTTTACCTGGCTGTCATCTTGTCGACGCGCTTCACTTTTGAATACCTCAAAATTTTGTCTCAATGCCGCATTTTAATTATCTCATAAACAAACAAACACGCACACACTAACAAACAAACAAACGAACGCGGAAGCAGACGAACAAACAAACAGGGCTCGTGATAACAAGACCCCGCCCCCTCCTCGATGACTCACCTGAGCAGGTGTGAAGCAGGCACGAGATGACCACCCCCAGCAATAGAAGACTGACCATCAGGGAGGGGCCGGGCCGGGGTGGGGAGGCTCGCCACGTCATCATAGCGGGCACAGAACTCTGCAGACTGTGTTACGTGATAGATATGACGCTGTAGACTTGATCACGTGATAGCTAGCCAGCTAGCTTGTCCTCTGTCGTTTCTTCACTCAACACAACTCACTGCCTTCTTTCTCTCTTGTCCCTCGGCGCCTAGGCGTCTTCTGAAGTGGGACGAATCTCAGCCCTGTCTTTCCACCAATGGGAGAGGGTTTCGCCTTTCTCTCCACCAATGGGAGAGGGTTTCTCTGGTCTCTCCACCAATGGGAGAGGGTTTGTCCTCCGTCCTCGGCGCTGATTGGTTAGGTCCCGAGGGTATTGATGTCAGCTTGTCAGATCTGCTTTAGACCTAGAGTGGGAGGAAGGGAGACAAAGAGAAAGAATAAAAGTTAGAGTAACTTAATTATTTAACACGGGCGTGACGGCAAATGCAGTTGTTCACGCAACCAGCTCTTGATTAAACACACTAGTTTAAAAAAAATGTTTTGTTTTCGTAAACCAAACTTTTGTTATAAATCATGGATGCCTCTTGCTAATTCTCTCGAGACTGGTAGACTCATCGGTAATTCTTGTTACGTGTCAAGTTTCGAAATTGTTTCTGTTTGTTTGTTTGGGTTTTTTTCGGTTTGGAATCGTGCTCGTTTATCGATTCGCTCCCTCTGATTTTTCGACCAGTGTGTTTCACTTTTGCTTTACCTCTTTCAAAATGTACATAATGTGTACCTACTGTAGGCATACTGTTTGTTTCTTTCTTTCTTTCCTTCTCGCCTTTTCCTTGTACTAGTTTACCATCGTAATGTTGATGCCATTCTTTTTATTCATGCGAAAAAAAAAAAGACCCAAAAGACCCCCCCTCTCTCTCTCTCTCTCCCTCCCTCCCCCTCGCTCTCTCTTTGTCTTATGTCTCTCTCTCTGCCTTATGTCTCTCTCTCTCTCTGCCTTATGTCTCTCTCTCTGCCTTATGTCTCTCTCTCTGCCTTATGTCTCTCTCTCTCTCTCTCTCTCTGTCTTATGTCTCTCTCTCTCTCTCTCTGTCTTATGTCTCTCTCTCTCTCTCTCTCTCTCTCTCTCTCTCTCTCT